CCTTATGGGGAAATTTGCTTCGGGTTGCGACCAATTCGGGCTGCGACCAGAGTCACAGAACAAATTAAGTTCGTAACCTGAGGTACCACTGTATAGCAATTATGTCATGACAATAGAAATGCTGATTATGTTTAAAACTTTGCATCGACTACTCAGAGAGTTCTGGTGGCTGAGAATGAGACCAGATACCAAGGATGTTTCAGGTTGTCATATTTGTTGCTGAATCAAGATTGTTCCTAGAAAGCTGGTTGGTTTGTTTCTCTAGTAGCACCATGGGATTCCATTTCAATGGATTTTATCACTGATGTTTTCCCTGTTCAGGGATTTACAACCATTTTTGGATTGTTTTACCAAATAGCTCATTTCATTCCATACAAGAGCTTCCATTGGCTCAGGTAACTGTAACTTTTTCTAGACCATGTTTTTAGATACAGGGACTGCTACTGAAAGTGAATGAATTGTGACATGCAGGTTGATACAGATAAAACCTACCAACCAGTCATAGCTGGCAACTGAGTGGTTCACATTTTCTTCTTTTGAGTCAGAAAATGACATACTTTTGACAACATAAAAAGCTCAGTTGGATGACTCTGCAGATACAATAGTGACAAAGAATAATGATCTCTTTGCCACCATTAACACCACAAAGTAGGATTTCAAACAGGCTCACTTGACTAACTATATTCAGTCAGCCTTGTTTGCTATCAAATTTGTATCATTCATCATCTCACTCATTTCATCACCCCAGCTTTTGCTAAAATTGGAGTGCCTGTTTCATTCTGCAAAACCAAAAAATAATACTAAGAAGCATTTATGTTTACCATCCAGCCAATTTTTCAGTGCAGAAACAAAACATATTCAATGAAATCACCAACCAAGATGACAAGAAAAAAAAATGCAAAAGAATGAAAGCCATTTAGATCCCTCAGACTTCTGGACAGACCTTTTTGTCCAAGATAACACACATATGTGTGGGTGTGTCCACGTGCATACATGCATACACACACAGTTTTATCATCATCATGCCACTCAAATTTTCATCTGACATTTAGAGCTTATTCACTTCTTGGATTTCTGTTGTATCCCACCAAGAAATCTTTTGGGTTCAACTTTGCATTAAAATGGTAGGATATAAAATACAGTTAACATGAGTTCCAACAGGCAACAACAATTTTACCTGCATAGCACTTTTGCCCATCTTCACAACATCAAACAAAGTAACAGGGTCCCCTTCTCCATTCTGCTGAGGATGGCCATTAGCTCTTCCTCGGCCTGTTCCTCTAATTCCAGTTTCAGAGCGAAACTTCTCTCCTGGAGTCTTTCGAGGCTTCTTATTGGCAGACTGGGAGACAGAAGAGCAGGAGAGAAAGCCTTGATACCTTTGTATCATATTTATTAAATTACAGTTTTACACATGCTAATTCTAAAGAACAGTGAAAAGTTCTGTTTCAAGTCTCAGCAAGAAAGTCAACATACATTCAATACATTTTTTAAACAGTAACATACTATGTATTGTCGAAGGCTATACTAGTTTTACCTAAAATGCAGAAGGCTTCAACAGATTTTCAATGTATTCTATTTTACATTCTATGTATTCTGTTTCCTAAAATATAAAATAGTTTTTAAAAAAGAAATCCAAAGCATTGCATAAAATGGTATAATCCAGAATTTAACAGGGGCACTAAACTAGTAATACAGAAGTATAACATTTTTGTAGAAGAGGGGAAAAAAATCACTGTGTTCACAAGTTTTGCTCAACATTTAGTAAAAAGGCTCTAATGTTTGCAGACACACACACTCACAGATACTACAACTCCAACATTCTTTGAACAAGAAAATCTCATAGCCATGCCTAGTCCAAGTGAGCAAGAAGGTAAAATTACTTCTAAGCTTCGTAAAGCAGCTGCCAACTTGTATTGAGAACAACTAATAATATTGACAAATGGATAGCAAGTAGGCAACTACAAAGGTAAAACTGCATGTGGGGTTCTGAAAAAAAAAAAAAAATTATCTATCAGTTCCTCCTTGTTCTCAAAACCAACAAATAATGTTGATTTAGCTTGGGGATCAGCCCAACTAGCAGGTTAAGTAGAGTTGTGCAATATTCAGATCCCAAGTGGGAAGTTTCCAGGTTAAGTGGGGGGATCAGACAATGTTAGTACATGACTCACCTTGCTTACAAATAACCCAAACATGCCTAAATATACATGGATATGACACTGTAACTGAGTAGCTAAGTAATGGATTATGTAACAAAAGCACCTTTCATTGTAATGCTCTATGTGAGCTGTCCTCCTAAATATATATTTTTAATTGCTCTTAAGCTAAAACCTCATAGATAAATTGTTGTATGCCACCCAGAATCACTTTGGGTGAGATGGGAGGCTATATAAATATGATTGATTGATTGATTGATTGATTGAGAGCGAGCATTGTCTGGATCTCAGATACAACTTTATTATAATTATTCCAATTTTAATGTGTCTATTAACAAACAGATAATGAGGAAGACCACTGTAATGGAGGTTGAGAGGAATCAAAGCAGAAAGTGCTGGGAAGATGGAAAAATTGGAAGATACTAAGAGAAATCTGAAAGATCCAATATCTGACTCATCTCTGTACACAGGTGTGAGCCACTGAGAACATGGTATCCCCAAAGAGTGACCAATGAGATGCCAGAAGTAAATTGCACTGCCAGCAAGAACAGTCAGGGAAAGTGGGTCATAAACACCATTAACAATCAAGTGGCAATAGAAAGAGCACAGTAGAAATGCTAGCTGGAGTTGGCTGCTGAATTTCAGGACTTTGGCCATTCAGCTGTGGCTAAGGTTCATGAATGGAAGGCAGGAATTTGGTGACTGCGACAAAGCAGAGAGTATGATATGCTGCTTGGGAAGAATCTGCTGTTGCCCACTACTGGCTATACCAGAAGCCATTTTGAAGATGTTGTGAAAAACCAGATGAGCCAAAGATAACTCTATTAAATTGACTGAGATTTATTAGAGTGCACTCTTGGTAGTGAAAAAATGGAGGGGGGAGGGGATTGGGGGAATGTGATGGGCAGTTTCATATTGTGGCTTGTTAAGTCCCAGGGAAGGAATGAATATGGACTGTGTTATGAGGCTTTGGGTTCTCAGGAAATGATTAGGCAACCATATTATATGTGGACCTTCTTGTGATTTTTTTCTCTCTTTACCTGTAATATCAGCAGAGACAGGAAAAGTTAGTTTTGCTTTCAGCTATGTAAGACTAATGTCAGCCCTTTGAGGTAGCCCTGGTCAGGAAATAGACAATGCAAGAAGTACTGGAACTCTATTGATGTAGGGGATCTTGAAAGCCTACTAGAGTTTCCCTCTGCTTGCCTCCATACTATACAGAATCAAGGTGGGGTTATTTTTAGTCCTTTTGCCACACTCCCTCTTTTCCCAGGACTGAGTTTGTTCACTCTTTTTTTATCTAACAGCGCTTGCATACCTTTGCTAAATTACAGTTAATTACAGAGTTTTTGGTGACAAGAGAGACACAATCCATTTCCCCGCTTCATAGCCATAAGAATGCAGTAAGATGCAGTAAGTTGATTCATTGCATATTTGTTCAAGCATGCCTAGATTAACTGTTTTTCTCTGCCTGCAAAGTAAGGCTTCTTTTGAACTCATAGTGTCTACTTGAATTCATGTGTGTGTATACCTAGTTCTAAAACCCTTCCTCTTAGAGTTAAACAATAACACTAATTACACTTAGCTGGGAATCTCTCAGACTAGGAGCATGAAAGCTTCCTATATCTTTGCCACTAGGGACATCTGCACAGAGCTGATTTGTCCCTCATCACCCATGTTTTTTAACTGTCTTCTCCCAGGCTGCCCTGGAATGCTTTGGTAAACTTACCTTACCCTGGAATCTGTATGATTTCAGCAACCAGCATATTTTTCATCTTTAGCTGAATTCTTTTTATAAGGCCAATTTTCATACTGCACTTATCAAAATACAAGTATAGTGTGTATTTCTGGGGGACCATGTTACAAGATGGCAGAATGTCTTATTTGGATATCGTAACTGGGGGGCCTTAGTCCAACTCTGGCTTATGTACTACTCATGATCCTACCAAGGCCACAATAGTCTTGCAACAGTAACTCACACTTTAATCACCACACAGTTGGACTACTGCAACTTACTCCAGGGCTGCCTCTGGAGATGACACAGAAGCTGCAACTAGTTCAGAATGCGGCAGCCAGGTACTGGTGGGACAACCCCTATCACTACAGAATAAGACTTCTTTTAAACTAATTGCACTGGATACTGGGATGCTTTGGGGCCCAACTCAATGTGCTGGCTATGACCTACAAAGCACTATATAGAACAGCACTGACATATTTCGGTTTCTGCTGTGCAATATTGTTATCTAATATGAAGGTTAATTATGCTTACATAATTCTGGGTTAAAAATGTAGATTTGTTTTCATGGAAAATTAATATGTCTTTAAGATGTTCTCATAGGAAAATATCATGGCAGATGAAGTACTGGTTTACTTCAAATCAATCACTGCCTTGTCAAAATTGAATCTGTCCATCTGATCCAAACAACTCAAGAAAGCCCGTTTAGAGTTCTTCCCCTGAGAGAAGCACACTAGTGTGGTTACATTAGGTCTTTTCTATAGTAGCTGCTGTACTCTGGAGTACACTATCCTAAAAGGTACATTCAGCCCCTTCCTTCTTTGTATTTCACAAGGTAGTAAAAACAATATTCTTTTACAATCCCTTTGGCCCTGACTGTAGTTGTTCATGCTGGTATGTATCAATTTTATTTTTTTAATTTTGTGTTTTGTTCATTCTTTGTTGATCGCCATCCAGTCTTAATTGATTGGGGAAGTTTACAAGTACTGTAAATGAATGAATCAATTACTAAATCAATAAGATTCCACATCATTCTGTTCTCTGTTTCATTCAATGAAACCCACGTAAAGCAAGAGAAACTTTCATCTACTTTTCCAAAAATTCTAAGCATGCTTTATACAATTTATATCACACAAGATCAATCACATTCTCCATCAAGTTCCTTTCTGAACATTTGTGCCAGTAGTCTCTTTATTTTCAGGGACTTCTTTGAGTCTTACAATTAAGAACTGAGCCTTACAATGTAGACAGCCACAGAGATGACCTTGGAGAAACTATGCAAAAATGACAGTTACCAAAACAACAAAAACAAGCAGCAACATGGATTCTATAGGTTAGAAGTGAACTGTATTGTGATGGGAATTCATGTCAACCATGGCGGCCATGGGCCTGTCCCAGATTATCTGCAACCTGACTCGGGACAGTGGTCTCACACCAGATTTGATTTTCTTGTTAGGGCAGTGGCAATATGATCTGAAAGGGGAATTACATCTGTCCCCATTGTCATGGTCAGATCATGTCCTGATGACCTTAAGATTCTCCTATGCTACCCCCTCTGCAGGGAGGTGGGACCTATTCAACTGGTCCACCCCTGGTGACTGATGGACCCAGCTGGGTTCCAAAGGGAGCTGGGGGTTATATCTGAGGATCTGCTGCATGGTCCAGCGGAAGACTTGGCTGCCACCTGGAATAGGAAAGCGGCCAAGGCCTTGGACAAGATCGCACCCATGCAACCTCTCTTGACCCATTGAGCCTGATACTCCCTATGGTTTACAGAGGAGTTGAGGGTCTTGAAAAGGATTAAGAGATGTCTACAGTGCCTGCTCCCCGAGTCTAATAACTCCTAGATAACATCAGTCTCTTGGAAGTATTATATAGGAATCTTGTTGTAGTGTATTTTAATTAATATTTATTCTATTTTAATTAACATTTATTCATTTTTACTGTAAACTGCCCAGAGCCACTCTGCAGTGAGATGAGCAGTGACAAATTTGAAATATAAACAAATAATTCAATCAATCAATAAATTTTTTGTGTATTTGCGATTTTTAATCAATAGATCTCAAAATTAGTTACCCAAGGTTCCTCCAGGGTAAAAAGGTTAAGAAAGACTGCAGTAAAGAATAAGAGGAAGGGAAGGGAAAACTCAGGCTTTCAAGATTCTGTTATATCAATATAGTCCCAGTCAAACTTGTGGACTGAACATGGCCTACCTCAAAGGGCTGATATACAAGCAAGAAGTTTTCCTTTTCAATTTCTTGACTGCGTGGCTGAAATAAATACGTAAGTGAATGCATGTTAATCTCACTAAATTCATGTTTGAAGAATGTCTTGATCAGAGTGACAGAAAGAAAAATTACAAAGCTGGAAACATCTAGATCAGACTTGCAATGCTTAAATGTAATAATCATGTCTTGCTGTAGAAAGCAGTTTTGGGGTTGGTTTTTTTTG